GTTCAATAAGCATAGTTTTTTATTACTATATGAGTCGATTAATCAATTATTTATATTTTAACCAAGGTTAATTTTTTTTTTTATTTAATATAATTTCAACAATAAATTTTTGTAATCTGTTAATTATTTTTACATTAGTTTATAAGATGTATCTACAAATCTTAAGTTTCAATGCTGTCTTCATTCCTAAAAAATAACACTATTTAATATATATTTAATAATTATTAGCATAATTATGGTATACGTACTCTAGTTTATAATGACCGTAAGCGTAGGTAGTAATACGGTCTTCTGATATAACCCGCTTATCATCTAAACGGTTTAATGTCATTTTCATAGTCTTAATGGTGTATATTTGGTGTTGAAATGATCTGATTGACACATTTTCTCTGTATGGTGTATAAGTCGGGTACTTTACAACGGGGCAATAAGGGTCCACGGCTCTCTCATGAATGTTGTTTACAACCATCGTGCCATATATAGCCGCTGTTGCATGAGCCTCGCTTACTGCAGGCTCCTCTTCAGCATACAAACACCGTTTCAGGTCCTCGACTGTAAGATGATTTTTCACAACGTGACCACGTATCCCTTTCGCCTTAATTTTTTCTTTACCCTCCAAGTCAAAACCATAACATTTTGGTCTTAGACTAATAAACTCCAATATAGATTTCCCCGGCGCTTCGTCACTCCACAAACCAGGTACCTTTTTGTTAGCGTTTGAATAACACGGGTGACTGCTCGGCAAACCTGAAGTGTCAAGTCTAGCCAATAGATCAGGATTTTTCTTTGCCACCGCGTAAAANATAGATCAGGATTTTTCTTTGCTACCGCGTAAAATTCATCACCCACGATAAAGTACACTAATGAATCTAAACAATAAAATCAAAAAATAAAATCATTAAATTTTTTCAATTAAAAATATTAATTAATCTACCTGTGTCACCGTATAACAGTCGAGCACGGTCTTTGAAATATTTCTTCATTACGTTGTAATGGAAATCGTATACGAGAGTTTTACTAATTTCTAAAATTGCGAAACCTACGTATACTGGTTTACAAAAATCGATAATTTTCTTTTCCAATACAAACGCTGATAAATTTTCACTGTACGTTGTACAATGTTTGAAATTATGCTTTCTAATTAATTTAGCCGCTCGTTTAGGATTATTGACCAATTCCATTTGCGTTCTAAATTGTACACGTTCCATCATTTTACCTGTTAACAAACGAAATCGCATTAAAATTATGTTTATATATATTTTTATTTAATTTTAAAACTTACCAAAAACAGCGTTGTTCATTAATTTAAAAAAGTCTTTTTCAAAATCATTTTTGGCTTTCTGTCTCATCTCCGTGTTGAGTTGTATATATTTTGATAGCCAGGCCGACTGCTTAAATTGTAACACCTTATGCACCTGTAATTTAATGACATGTTATTATTATATTTTTAAAATATAATTTTATGAATTACCTTTTCTACTTTTAATCCGTTTGCCATAGTTTGTTTTAAATTTAAATAGTGTATAACGTAGTTTTCTTTCCGATCGAAAGTAGACAACAGTTTTTTGACCCGTGAATTAGGTGGACATTTTCGTTCAGGTAGAAACGGCATTTCGTTGTGGGCATCATGTAACTCTTTCGGGTACGACACCGTCACTTCAAGGGCCATTCCTACAGGAGAAGGTAACTCTTCTTCCCGCAGGTAACTCTTCCACAGTCTTTAAAATTTTTGTTTCGTCGTCCACGTCTAACCACTTAAAGTCACCACATGGCATATGTTGAGACATACTCCAACCATACAAATTATTGACATCCAAATATATAATTTCAGATTTTTGTTGTTTAATATCATAATGAGGCGTCTTTTCATTGTTGGATGTGGCATGTTTTAACACCGAAGTTGTCATTCCTCCCCGTATTCCTCTCTCAATAAAAAGTTGTTGTTCATAATCACTCATAAGATCTAATGAAACGCCCGTATGCAGCAGCATAGCGTCAAAAGACAAACCGGGACTCGTAAAATAATATGCCGGTTCCAATTTATATTTTAGTAAACATAACTTGCGAAAATTCGTAAAAACATCCGCAAGTATTGTTACGTCAGTTTTCAGGTACAGATCAGAGTACTCACCGAGCGTTTTACAATTGAAATGTTGCCAGACGTTTTGTGCGTGTTTGTATTCGGCATCATCAATATGCGTTTCTGACAGATCGTTATAAAAATCGGCTTTTGACGGCAATTGTTTTTCTTCGANAGATCATTATAAAAATCGGCTTTTGACGGCAATTGTTTTTCTTCGAGTACATCCCAGCTTGAGGTGTATGAATACGGGTACACGCCTTTACGGGTCACTAAATCAATGTCACCGTCCGATGAAAACGCTTTTGCGGTTTCTTTGAATAATTTTATGTCGGCGGCGCGCAAATTTTCAGCGAGAGCCGCTAAACTAGTACTCATAAAACGAAATGTATCGACGAACCTTAGCGAAAATTTGTTTGAAACAAATTTTGAAAAAGAAATATATTTTTCTTCTGTAGCGGGTATTACACTTATTCTACTAGTATCTCTTCCAAGGGCTTTAACTAAAAAGTGTCCGTCGTACGAGCTAAGATTATGGAAATATACGTTAACAAACTTGGGCGTTGTTAATTTTAAATTGCAACTGTTACAAAGCGTTTTTCTAAAACTACCTGAAACGAATATAAATATATACATAAATTTTTCTTTTTATATTAATTACAATACATTTAACATAGTTATGTTTATGATTTACCTGTCAAATGATCATGGTCTGCAACTTTATGATTTTTCTCTGTAAAACTACCATTACACAAGTCACAGCAGGTTTTCTTTATATGTTCTTTAGTCTCTTCGTGTGTCATACAAATATCAACGTTCGTCTTGAGTAACTCTTCAATTTTCAACGCCCTTCAGTTACGTCATCCATGAAACGATTGACTACTTCCTCCGGCTCGCTGCTTTTATTTCCTCTGTATATTTTGGGCGTCGTTTGAATATTATACTGTTGCAATAATTCTATGGGTACACTGTCGGCTGCTTTTACTATGTATCCATAGCTCATCGCAACATGATCATGTATATAACTTGTGTTGCCTTTCGTATCATTGTTGGACTTGACCAACAGGCTTTCAAAATCAGCATAAATTGCAAATGGATGTTCCTGTGTTTTGCCCCATGACTCGAACTTTAATTTAGTACCCTCTTCAGGCATTACAGGTAAAAACGGTTTGTTTTCACCACAAATTTTTTTATGTTCTTCTAGCGCCTCAACTCCATGTAGTTTATACTTTTTAGGTACATTATTAAAGCCTGTGAAACACCGTTTACAAAATATCATTTTCGCCGTACTCTTTGTCATTTGTGATTGAACCAGTTTTCCAAAATCAGTGATATAAGTGTAATGGCTGTCACCCGCGGCGTTTGACACAATAAATAAATCAATATGGTCTCTACGTTCTTCAGCGCATACTTTCAGCGGATAAACTAAATATTTGGATTTATTATGTAAATCTTTCAATTTTAGTCCGTAAACATTGACTGAAGTATGCGGATTATTTTTTTCGAAAATTTTTATGTCTGAAATCGGTGTTGGGAATGATAAACCGGAGAAATTATAAGAGTTTTCTATAGACTTATAGTTGTGACCTACAATATTCTTATTATCTCCTGTCACATTTTTCGCCAATATAGCCCATTTGAAACATTGTTGATCTATATTTTACGGGTTTATTACAGCATTTCTGTTTTTAATATCATGCGGCAAATCAATGTAAGAACTCCCGCCTAAAGGCTGATATTTGTATACACCCAGTAAAATACCGTCTATATTAGAAAACGAAAAATTACTACCTTTACCAGCATAATTTTCCTGTTCTTCTAATAATTTTGTGTATGAAATATCCACAGCATGNTAATTTTGTGAATGAAATATCCACAGCATGATCGATATCGTCCTCATTAATTATCTCGGCTGCCGACGTTTTAAATGACCGATTTTCATACTTGGTTTCATTATTTGGTACAATATAAGTCGCCTCAAGTTTTAAGTTGAATTTTATCGGGCCCATTACTTTAAGACAGTCGCGTAATTTTTCGACTAAATCGCCTCTTGTTGCCGACAAAAACGATTGATACCCGACTACATTTTCAATATTCTTTTTGTAAAACCATAAAATTTGACTATTTAATGATTCACCCGTTTTATGAAAACCGCTCGTCGTAATGTCTTGTAATCGTTTCACCTTTACCCGTTTGCATTTAATCGTATTGTCGCTGTTACATTGTTTGCGACGTTTAGGACTAATTACACTGGGGCCTGCCTGCATTCTCTCCGCAACATTTACATTTTCTAAAATCAATATATTTATTTTAGCATATAAATTTTTAATAATATATATTTTCTTTACTTACCACTCGTTGACATAGCCCTCGAGTCAGCATGATTTCCAATAGCTATATTATAGTCTATACCATACTTTACGAGATCTAAAATATTACACTTCTATTAACACTCTACTAATATATTTTCTCTTTTCATATTACTATTTTACTAAATAATCAATTGTAATACTCACGGTGAATTGTTATAACATGACGCGAGAGTGCCCATTTGTCCGAAAAACTAGATGGACATAAATAACACTTAAATCGTATACCATCATGACTCTTTTGATGACGTACCAGTCCATGTTTGAATGCAAACACTTTTTCACCCTTGTCACNGAATACAAACACTTTTTCACACTTGTCACAAGAAAACATTTTAAAGACGTTTAACTGTCACAGCACTATTAATTTTACTCTAGTAATAATCCGTCTTTTATG